TGTCAGCTCCAGCCTCGAGCAACAACCGCACCACTTCCAAGTGGCCTCGTTTTGTTGCAACAAACAGAAGTGAAGGGTCAGTTTCTGCACCTCTTTCATTGGGATCCAATGGTTTCTGAAGCAACTTTGTGACTTGAGCAACTTGATTTTCCTTACACGCATGGAGCAGTGCCTTCCAAACGGCCTCCTCAGGCGGACAAAAGTTCAGGACTATCAACTGCAAGCTTTGTACTTGTCTGACAGGCATATCATCCTGTAGCTCGCCCACCTCTCCACTCAAGAGTCTTTGTCGAAATCTTGAGAACCCAACTCGATCCGCCAGGAGCTTCTTCAGATCCCGAACAGAATGTCCATTCTCCACCATGTAGGCCAATTCCTTCTCATGAAGCTTTGTGAGAGTGGCACCTGAGAGTGTGGTGATCTCCATTAGCTCCTGCCGACTAGAGAAAATGTTTCAAGCCAAAATGGCTTATTGAAGCAATACTGGCCTTTACCCCCCAACGAACTTCCGCTCCACTCCGGCCTCGCTCTTTTCAGGGTCCCCCCCCCCGTGCCACGCGCCAATCCGGCACGTGCCACGGCGGGTGGGCTCCAGGTGGAGGCGGCGTCCCCCCCCCAAGCGAGCAAAGTGAGCGTCTGGGCGCCGGGCTCGGACGGTCACGAACCTCGGGATCCGCCCCAACTCGCCGGGCGCGGACGCGAAGCGAACGTCCGGCGCGGACGCCACCGTGGCACGAACGTCGCGAGGGCGGTGGAGACGTGCCGATCCGAGGAGGACAGCGAGAGGCGAGCCTGTCGTGCACAGTGTCAGGTGCGGTGTGAAAGAGAGAGTCCCAGTCCCCGGAAAGCGGAGGGAGCGGAAGTCTGCATTTGTTCGAAAACGGTGTTCCGCAAAGCTTTCCACCTGGGTTGGAGAACATGAAGGGGCAAATGGCAAGAACCTCCCGTCTTCTCCACTTCTTCGCTCCTCCCTCAAAAAATCCATCACGATCCACTCATCGACCTCTCTCGCTGGTCCACTGTATCGACCTCTCTATGACTCTTCACCAGGGAGCCCGAACCAAACCATGAAAAAATAAAGGTTTTCACAAACCATGTTTTTTTGCTAGGGAAAACCAGGTTTTTGATGGGTTTTGATGGTTTGTGTGGGCCCCTGGCAGCATTTGGTCTGGAGACCCTTCCAACAGGCCGAACAATCACGACCAGTTGCACCGCACTTGCTGTCTGGGGTGTCCTGTCGACCTGGAGACGGTATACTCACGTGGGGTTGTCCAGCCACCCCTGCATCGGCAGGTGAGAGTCTTTGAAGACACCCTCACTCACCGGACCTTTCACCCTCATGAATTGCAACCGCCCTGAGGAACCGCACATCAGGGCGCATGGCCAACCGCAGGAGCGTCCAATCTGAGGGATCAAGATCACCGCCTCAGCACGGTGATCGGCTTTCGCCGTCCGACAAACACCCGCCTCGCGCGCGGGCGCGTCGAAGCAGATGACGAGGAGTCGCCAACTGCGAGTTTCGCTCGTGTAGCGACCGAAGGGTGCCAGATGACCAGCCGCCGGCGCGTGCATGCAAATGACAAGAGTACCTGTGGATGGAAGGCCTTCGAGAAGCACAAAGCACCATGACTATAGGAACTGGCTTCTTGTTTCTACTATATAGCTTCTTGTTACTACTAGTAAGGCACTTGTTACTAGTAGCGATGCACTTGTTACTAGCAAACTGACTATAGGAACTTGAGTCAAACACCGTTCTTCGTCCAACACTTTGCTGTTCCCCGGAACCCCGTCCAACACTTATGCACAGAACGGTCACGTCGTGGCGTGCGTTGCCAGACTTCGGGACACCGTGGATTCATGTGACTGAGAGATGTCCTTCTCCAACGTTCCCGGTCCAAAGCGACGACGACTTCAACGACGACTTCTGCAGGGTGGGCCATGTCTCGTTCGTGTTGAAAAAAGATGCGAAGACCCGGCTCTCACGGGTGAGTTGAGTCTCTACAAACAATTGGACGATCTATAGGCCCGGCCCACCAGGACCGACACCGAGAGGTGTCTATAAATAGCCTCTGAGTCGAGGTGAGTCGAGGTGTTTGGACACCACCGGACTTGGTGGAAGGTCTTGGCAGAACTTATATGTGCCCCAGTGCATCCCAGTTACCACTATATAAGGAACCAGGGATTCTAGAGTCTATGGCTTTAGTCTTTGGAACCACTGGTTACCAGCTATAGTGGTTTGCCTGGATGCCTTGGGTGCTATGTGTTTTGCACGGTTCTTCTTAACCGATGAACCGCAAAAACTCGGAAAAACCCAACGTCTCACCCGTAAGCGATCCGAGACACACCATACAGCGATTCCTTCTCCAGCGCATGGTGCCTGGACCGGCGTTTCTCGAACATCAACTAAGAAGCTACCAACAAAGGTTGAAGGCCCCGAACTCGCCTATCCCAGTTCGGTACCCCTCACTTAAACGGTCCTAGTTACGGTCACTGGCTACCTCTCTTGGGATATACCAGCACCGACTTCACAGGTCACCCAATTGAAACCTGTGACAGGGCCAAACACCCAACCCTCCATTTCAGAGACCTGTAGAGTTGGGTGCTGGTATACATATACCTGGAAATCATTGGAAATCCAAGACTTTTCAAAAAAAATGGTCTGACTGGGCGACCCCAAGTGGCGTTTCCTCTACTTTAGATGGTGCCAACATAAAGTCTTTGGACTTCCAGGGCATACATGTATACCAGGACCCTCCGACAGGTCACCAATTAAGACCTGTTAGGGTCCAACAACCCTCAACTAACAGCCTGGCCAGGAGGGTGCTGGTAGCTTCATATTGCTTCTCTCACTGAAGCTTCCGACCACCAAAGACCCTCAACCATCGGACGCCACGAACCTGCCGTTTTCTTCCGCACGGGCAGAGCCGTGGAAGGCTAGGGCTACGCTCGCTCTGCCAGCTCCGCTCGGCAGCCCGAGTTGAACGAGCCTCGACTTCGGCACGTGGAAGTGGCCAACCATAAAGGCAGCTGCCCTTTGACGGTTGAGCTCTTCTTCAGTGTCATCCTGCAGGTCGCGTCTTTTGTGTGGTCGAGTGGTCAGTTTTTGGTACAAGGATTCTACAAAGCTGATCAAAATGATACATCTCTCCCTCATCCTCTGCGTTGCCTGTTCCTCATCCTCTTGCCATCCTGTTGACTCATGGTTTTCCCACCCAAGAAAGGCCACCACCCCGGGAAGGGCACCGAGGAAGGGCGAACGGCGAACGCTCGGCTCCTCCTCGCTGGATGGTTCGGAACGTACTTCCTCCGCACTTCCTCGGAGCCGGTGGGGAAGGCCCCGGTGGAGTCGGGAAGGGGGAGAATCCATCCATTTCGGCCCCGTTTCGGTGGTGGCTTTGTTTCCGGGACGAAACGGGCCGTTTCCGGCCTCTGAGTCGACATATTGTTGAAGTGTCAGACCTCCAAACGAGGGAGGATGTCAAACCAGACTGCAGGTGCTGGAAGTAAGAGGTACACCTTGAAGAGAATCCATGCGGTCTTTAGACAGATGATCATGTCGCACCCTGCTCGGAGCTGCTCGGTTTGTCTTATTACATACAGTAGAATCTTGATGCAAAAACCTCTTCAAATGGAGGGTTGAAATATAACCAAGAGTTTACGTTCACTCTCCCTTTTCAGGCGGTTGGTGTAGTGTTGCTTTGAGGAAGGCATCACTTGTTTGGCTGTAATAGCGTTCTCCCTGAAAGAACACCCAAACGTTGCGAACTATGTCAGCAAGTCAACTCGCACGACTCACTCAGTTTTGCTTGTAGAAAAATCGAACGACATTCATTTCACCAAGGTGCGAATGGAGGAGTAAGTGCCAGAGATCACTTCTTCACCAGTCCTTGCAATGAAGAATCCAGTCCTCTCTCTCTCTCTCTCTGCCCCTCGTGGTCACATTTGGTGCATCAGTATATACAGTATGCATCAATGATGCATGAGATCAATGGTTCAAACCTGCTGCAGAAGTTCTGCACAATACAGTAGCTGCCACTATCCGTACAGTAGTAGGTAATTTTGGGGGCATTCCCATGAAATAAATGTTGGGAAAAAGATGTTTGGCAGCATGTCTGGGCAGCATGTCTCAAATGTCACGAATTCCTTCAACGGCTGGCAGGTGTCCGTAGGGGAAACCTTCGAAGCTTTTGGGAAAGAGGCTCGGCGAGGAATGAATGCAAATTACATGCCATGTGTGGTCAAACAGTAATATATAGTATAATTGACATGCACTTCTTGAACAATCATGGAAGTGGGCCCCTGCAAAACCCCATGAAATCCTCTACTTCCGGGAAGCCGAGGGTCAGCTTCGATGACTCTTGGAGGGAGGTCATCCAACAACAAACCATGGAATACGAAGCGTGGTTCTCACACGTCGAGCTCATGGGTTCAAGTCGAGCTCACGGCTTCTCTCCCTGTCGGCCAGGCGAGATGACGCGGATCTTTTGGGGCGGGGGTTCGGACGGACTGCAGGACACCACCTAACAGCATGACCATGCATGACCCATTTCTTCGAAAATGCATCCATCCTGATGTGTGTCAAAGCACATGTCGCTCTGTGCGTGCCGCCTTCGTCTGTGTCTCTACCGATCCCGTTTGGGCTCCTGCCCCACCTCCGTTTCGGAGGTTCGGTGCGACAGGGGTGCTGTGCCGGGTCTGTGCTACCACCGAACCTGAGGAGATGGTGAGGTCGCCGGGATGTTGGGATCCATCTTTTCTGGATCCACTGGGATCTTCCCTGGAAAACACACCGAAAACACCGATCATGCCGCAGTGCTTCTTCTCCCTCTCGAGGTACAGGTCCCGCTGCTGCATTCCGGCCACCGGAGCACCCGTGTGAAGCGGGGGAACCCGTGCGGCGCATGGATCGCAAGGATCGCGGGAAGTGTTGGTCTCGGCTGGGGGGTGGAAAGTGGTGGGAGTGGAGTGAAGGAAGGTGGAGGGGGTTGTTCATGTGTGGTGACTTCTTTTGTTGCTTGCAACCAAGAGAAAAGGGTCGGGATCTGGAAGATATTCGCTGCCTTATCGTGCGTGGGACATGTGAAACGCATGGCTGGGATATTGAGGGCATCTGCATCGTTAGCCAGCAGATTGAAACGCAAAAAATGCTGCCGAAAATGACTGTCATTTTGCAGTGGTCTTCCACATCCATGTTGTCTATCCAATTTCAATTGTCCTGCTTAACCAAGGTCGAAAAGCATTTGGCGTGTTGGCGATTGAGGGTAGCTCGGGCTTGCTCTGCCAATGCCATGCTCATTCGTGCACAAGCTGATTTAGAGTCTGAGCCCGAAAGTGACACAACTGAATCGAGTGATGCAACTGTTTTTTGAAACTACCGTGTTTTCAGAGTAGATGGCACAAGTTATCCCTATAGGTGGGTGGTTTATATGGAACCCCATTTAAAGATTCTAGGGGACATCTTGGGGTGCCAGTGCCATCTACTCTCAACCACTGTTTCGCCTTCCAGCAGCTTCAATCAGAACAAGCAGCTTCCGTCTCCGTCTCTTCTGGTCTTCCACCATCGTCGAATCACCATCCAGATCCCGAGTCGACGGATGTTGTTCGACTCTCCATCCACCCACACACTCTTCGGAAGAATGCAATCCATACCCAGTCCAAGACATAGCAGATGAAGGGGGATAGGAAAGGTGACCCAGGTCCAGGAATGTCCTTCACTTCGTCCCCCCAACAAAACGTACTCTTTCAAACTACAGTGGATTGAGAGTAGATGGCACTGGCACCCCAAGATGTCTTTTATATAGGGCTCCATATAAACCACCAAACTTGGGGATGGTGCCATCTACTCTCAACCCACTATAAGAACATTTAAGAACAAGAAGCTCATTACGGGGCTCCTGCCCCTTCTTTCAGATGTGGACTTCCCCTTCACCTCACTGAAACCGACAGATCGATCCAATCCCCCAAGCGATCCGCGCGATCCGACCCCATCCGCTCCGCGGTCGCCTTGGCTTAGGGGGGAACGCCGGGCGGTTCCGTTCGGGTCGGAAGGGGAGCTGCTCCGTGCTAGTAGCAGCCGATCGCCCACCCTCCACTTTTCTTCCTCGGCCCTTCTTGGCTTTGGCTCCCTTCGACTTCGGCGCAGACGGCGGCGGCGGCGAAGTCGGCGAAGTCGGCGGCGGCTTCGGCTTCTTGGCCGCCGGCAGCGTGGGCAGCGCGTGTCCTGGCGGGGTGGAATCCGTGTGAAGCTGCAGGAGATCGGAGTAAAGCCACCAAAGTGGCTGGCCAAGCGAAAATGCTGAGGGCTAGACTATATATATCTAAGATTCTTTCAGAGTGAAGATAAGGTGAAACAACGCCGCAAAAGATCGTGGGCTTGAAGACCAGGTCTTCTTCTCGGACTCCTTCTCTCAGCAGCTCAGCCACCAGCCGCGCGATGTTCCGGCTATCGTCCAAGCCGGAATGCGGCCTGTGGAATCGAACTGAAAGAGATGAAACCTCTACCAGCACCCGACTCTACAGGTGCTTCCTGGTGACAGGTGTCCAGAAACCACCTGTTAGGGTCTCCAAACGGCCTGGCCAGGAGGGTCCTAGTATTTGCAGGTCAGGACATGACCTCGTGTTGCTGGCGTTGGTCATAGATAGACCCTACCAGAAACGAACAGTGAGGTGAAAAACCTCAGGGCCAGGAAAGCTACACCTGCAGAGCTCCTTAGTTTCAGTTGTCTTTTGCCTTAGGACGCAGAACGTACACACCGCCTTTCTCCGCAGCCCTCGATGCGCAGCGCGTATATAGCCGCTCTCGAAGTACTTGAACTCACGAAGTTCCAAGCAACCAAAGAAAAAGAACTCGAAGGCCGCGATGCGTCCTTTCTTCAATGCCAAGTGAATGGCGAAGGTCGTCGCCGCTGGTGACTCAAGGGCCCTTCGGCCGGGGAGATTCGAGAAATCATATCGCGGTGCGGCGATGCAATGCCGTCTATCCGCAATTGAAAGAAAGCAAAATGAAATTGAAATCACATTCAAATCTAATGAGCATTCGTCACATTAACACGCCCAAGTTGTTTCTCAAGGGGTGCCAACATGGTATGGAAAACTTTCAAAAAAAAAGCGGGCTCTGAGTCAACCTTCAACGAAGGACATCTAAATCACTCACATGGTACCACGCACCATGTTCGCTCTCAGCTAGGCGTCTTGGTCGAGTGCCAGCAACAAACGTCATAGGAGTCTGGCAGGTTCGGTCAGCCAGTTCACCGTTGTAGATTTGCTCACGGACACGGTCATTGCGTTCCAAGGCAATGATCTGATTTCTCTGACGAACGATGCGACGATTCACGTCAGCCAAAAACACCAGGTTGTCATTCCACATTCGGTGCCACTGACATACTTGCTCATCAGAAAATTGTGAGGTGTCCTGAGCTCGAAGCAATTCACTGAATTTCCTCCAGCGCTGCGTAGTGAAGCTCTCAGACTGCAACACGCACCTTGTTTGGGAATCCAGGCTGCTATCATGGTTTTCGAGTTCCCATAGAAGGCGACGGTATGGGCCTTGTCCAGCCTCGTTTTGAACTCTCACCTTCATGCGACTCCAGCGATGCCATTCTTCATCTGGAAGATCCGACTCTGTGTTCGTAGTTGTGCTTCCTGAATCTATTCCAGGACGACGGGCCAAAGTCAGTGCATTTAGGATCACCTCATCGGCCTGAACAGCTGCGGAAACGACATGGCTAGGAGGATGGAGCGGGTTCTCAGTCACTGGGGCATTCGCAGAAGCTTGGTCATTCTCAACAACCTGCTCATTTTCATTCATCTCCTCTCTGAACAGGTTCGTCACCTTGTTATTTGCAAAGCGGTAGGCCTTGTAAAAGATGGTTTCAATGCCAAAACGCAGAAACACATTTTCAAGGCCAATCCATGCGAAGATCATGATGACCAGGAAGGACATGAGGACTGGCGAACTCCATCCTTCAGCTTCACCAGATGTCAAAGCTCCTTCAGCAAGAGGCGCTTCACTGGCCATCAAAATGGCTGCGGAAAACAAGGCTGCATTCTTCCATTCGTCTTGATGGCTCTTTGAGCTGCGGTGGGCATAAAAATGCCTTCTGCTGCAGTATTTGTTTCGAGGATCACTCTCGTTGCGGGGTTTGCAGCAACTTGGAAGTAAACAAAGACCTTGTTCATGCTTTTGCCACTCTTCTACTGCAAAAACTTGTTGTTCTTCCATTTCTTTTGAAAAAGCTTCATGGATTTCCCTCTCTTCTTTCTTGGCTTCCGAGGACACTTTCTTGGAGGCTGTGAAGTCGGGGTTGAACTTGAGTTGATGGGTGCCACGCTTCATGATGTAGGCCATGGAATCTCTGGAAGCCGGCTTTGTCAAGCCGTCAGAGATCTGTTGGTGTGAGTTCACCCACATCCATTTTCCCAACAAGGCGTTCATGCGATCTCGCACGATCGCCACTTCAATCGCAGTTCTTTTCTCACTCAATTTCATGCTGGGAGACAAGGACTTGGCAGCATCAAACAAAGATTTTGCATCCGTCACAAGCGGGGATGGTCCAAGCTTTTGCAATGCTTCCGGACTTTCGATCGGCAAGGTGGGGTCGATCATGACAGAAACAAAAATCTTGCACCATTCAAGCTCATCCACTGCAATGGCGGCTGCTTGAGCCTCTGAGGACAAACTTGACCGACAAATACGTGCCAACTTGTGCGATTTCCAATAAAAGACATTGAGCGGCATCATGCTGCCGGATTCCAGCTCTTGGTGCGAACAAATGAAAACCAAAAGTCCACCTTGGCTTGATCCGTCGGGTCGTACGGCCCAAGCAGCATCGGTATATGCTCCGATGCACAACTCAGAAAAAGCACATGAACCACGCATGTACAGTTGGTGATCTTTTGAAACTTCTTTTGCAAAACGAAGCAGCTTGTTTGCTTGGTTCAAATCACCAACACATGGATTGCTTGCTGATGCTTGCAGAATGCTCACGCTTGCACACAACTCAGGGATGCTTTGATGAGCAGGCCATGCCAGCGCACCAATGAGGGCACGGAACTGTCGGTGTTCACGTTCATCGCATGGAGACTCCGTCATTGTTTTCCTGGATTTGTCCAATGAAATAGGTTTCACCTTCTGTACATAGTTAGCCAGACTCACCGAAATGGTTGAGTAGTCTAACGACTGTTGCAGTTCAGCACCACAAAAGATGATCTTTGGGCCATTTCCAAAATCCCATGCACCAAAACGAAAACGCTGAGCCAAACGCAGGATGCGGTTGAGGAAACACTCTTCATTGGGACATTCCTTTTTCAAATCATGCTCACTGCAGAAACCTTCACCAGTACCGATGAAGTCGTCCACATGGAGTCCAAAAATGCCATCAACAATGCTAGGGACACCATTCCATTGGAACACTTCGAAAGCTGG